TCCACAGCGCTTCACACCAGCACGGAACTTTTCTCAGTGTTATGGAAGTCTCAATGCTCAAATATCCTTTAACTATCCTGGTTTTTATCTTTGCATAGCTGGTGTTACAAGCACTACAGGATTCACCTATACCTGCCCCTATTTTCTTTGGCTCCTCTTCATGCATGTGCACATACACAGACAAAAAGAAACAAGGTTCATGCACCAGCAATGGGAACAGTAAAACTTCCTAGAGTTGTTTGCATTGGCACGATGGGTTTTGCTGACATCTTTGCATCATTCATAGTCTACGATGCATGAAATATTTAGGGTTATCACTAAACCAAAGGTTTATGGACTAAACCCAAAGTTCACTGAACTCCCAGCAAGAATAACTCCCAGCAAGATTGCCCAGACAGTCTGAGGCTACCAAATTATTCTCAACCTACAGAATTCACAGACGGGCTTCAGGCTCTAGTTCTGCTCGAAAGATGGGAGGTTTGGACAGGATCCTGCAGAGCTGTGCCATGAAAGCCACGTAGCTGCTGAGGCAGGCAGGGAAAGCTGCGTGTGAACATGCAGATGACCAACCTCCAGCCTGGCAGCAGCCACCAGCTACAGGGAAGAAGAACATCTGCTTTGATGCTCTGGCTTGAAGAAAGTTGCACTAATGGAGTTTGGTCATTATAGGAACTGATACCAGGAGTGGAGCTAGGGTAATTGGAAACTTCTGCTCTCCTAGGTAGAATATGTGGGAGGCTTTATTAGATGCTTTGATGAAGGTAAGGACTCGGATGCCTTTATACAGCAGAAAATCTTACAATAGATTTATTTTAAAGGAAAATTCCTTTCCAGCTCAACAAGAAGTTATCTGGCAGTGAGTGTCCAAGTGCTGGGGTGGTATTGAGATGAGAGGAAGACTTCAGCATTGCACCAAGCCTCAAAGACCGCAGCAGCCCCTCAATGCAGAGCCCAGCTGGTCAGGGCCCAGCAGCGTTACCCTGCCCAGCACTACTCTGAGATGTCACCCAGCACCAGGACGTGATCAGGCCTCTGTCAGTCATCTGTGCAGGCTGGCATCACACTGGGATGCTCTGGAATGCTGCTCAAAGCACCCACCTGTGAATGTGGTGGTGCCCAAGCAAGCCATGGGAACATGCTTAGCATCTACTACAGCGCCCAGTCTCTAACCTTAACCCTCTTCCTGAGACAATAAGGAACAAAGAAAAACAGTTCTCTTTTAAAAAGCAGTAAACAAACTTACTTGATGTCACATTACATTTCTTTCAATATGAACGTATGGAGAGAAGTAGTCTAAATATGTTTGGTTTTTTTTTCATAAAAATGCAGGTTTTGTGAAACCCAATATTTTGTACTGCCATGTAGAATTGTTGGGGTTGATTTTATTTCATGTTTCGCTTCCTTTTTCTTTTTTACTGTGTTTCATCATGTGGTTGGAACAATATACTCCATCTCGAATCATCACAATTTCACTAAAGCACAAAGAGGAGATGCTATGAAAAAAAAAAAAAAAAGTATGGCCCAATCAAGACCAAGCTGAAGCTGCCAGTAGCAATTTAGAAATAATAATAATAAATAAATAAAATATTTACACTGTTGCATTATGAGACAATTTACTCATTTTCACTATAGGCAGTGTCACGGAATACTACTGATATGATCAAATATAAGAGAAAAAAAAATCAGCAACTGCTTTCATACAAACATGAAATGTTCAAATGCTGAAAAATTCCAAAATTAAGACTTGTTGGTAAAAACTGCTTTGTGGGAAATGAAAAAAAAAAAAACAAAAAAACACTATGAATCTATTATTACATCCCAACCGCACATAAAAACAGGCTCAGAAAAGCCAGAAACACCCACAAAACAATCGACCCCACTCCCTGTGCCTCCTTAATCTTCCGTGCCTCCGAACGGTACCACAACTCTCAGTGCTGTAAATGACACTGCACGGAGCTAACAGCACTCAGTGCTTTTAAAGTGATTTCTTAATTTAACTTCCAATTTATGAAGGCATTTTACCATCCTTCAACTCTCATTTTCTCTGAGCAAATGCAGACCCTGCTTTGCAAAATGTTAAATAAATGGATGTCGCCAAATTATTAAAATTAAAGGCAAGTGCAGAGCTGGCCAAGCGAATCGTGGCTGGAAACCAGCTTCCAAATTCCCTTAGCAGCTTTCAGATGATTGTGGAAGGATGCCATCAGAGAAAATGCCGTGTCTGCAAGCATCACCTCACCCTGGTATGTTTGGAAAGCTTATAGAAAGCCCATGCCACAGGGAGTGGATTGTGTATAGATCGTACATCATCCTGCTACCTTCTGGGGGACGGCCGAAGCCATAAATCAACGACAAAGCTGTCCCAGTCTGTCTTATCCACCATAGCTTTATTTTTTCTCTCTGCCTTCCTAGTGAAAGATCTTGACCTCCAGCACCGGCCATTTTCTGGTCCTCACCTCCCACACTCAGAGCCAGTCCCAAAAGAGCCAAGTCCAGGCTGAACCTGCAGCCACCTCTGCACGGTGGCACTCAAGGTGACGGACATTTGTCACCTCACTGCAATTAGTGGCTCCCACCCAAAGGATATGCAGATTTAAAGGCTGTTTCCATCAGCCAGGCCCTCATGCCTCCCTCACCCAAATTGCCCGAGATACCTCTGTATATTTTCTGAATGCCTCTTGCCTCCTGCTGTGATTTTATTATTATTCTGAAAATATTTGCAGATGCGATGGGGTCTCTGCAGGTTTCTGGGGCTCGCAGGTACGTGCCACCTACCTCTGCTTCCTTCCTGCACGAAGCCTTTAGGAAAAGGCTTACTTGATCTTCGTGGTAACTCCCAGCCTTCATTAAGCACTTATGTGATGGGAAACATGAATGTCTAACGTTTTACCTGTAGTTTTTCACTGATGTGCAGCCAGTTTGGCCAGCTGGGTTTGGACATTTTAGTACCCTTTTTAAGATAACGACCATGGCACACGTGAACTCCTGGCCAGGCATCCTCAGGCTGGCTGATTTTCTGTTGGAAAGATTTGTTGTGCATTTTACAAACACCAGATGCTCAGTGATGAGAAAATAAAGCATACTTTCCAGTAAACAAAAGCAGATTTCATTTGTCTCTAAAGCATAAACAAAAAATAAACGAAAAAAAGTGAAAAAAAGTGCAAAACAGATCAGTACAAACCAGGCTCGTACACATGCTCCAAGGGGAGAAAGTGGTGAAAGAAGTGGGAAATGTGTGTACCTGGAGGCAGTTAGTGGGCTCCGTGGGGCAGCGATGGTCTCAGAGGCTCGAGCCTCCTGTCCTCCGCCAAGGCTGGGTGCAGGAGCCCGGTGCCCCGAGTGTGCTGCCCGGTCTCTCAGTGAATGTGAGCAGCGGGTTTCTTCTTTCTCTTGCAGGTTGCAACCTCCAGGGGCCAAAGAGCTCACGTGGGGAGGACGACGGCCCTGGAGGAGCTGGTAGGGAACAAAGTTAAACACATAGGGGCTTCCTCAGCAGCAGCTGGGGCAATGGAAGTAACGCTTGCTAGAGGAACTGCTTGGAGACTTTGAGGCTTAACTGCAGTCTCGGTTGGTTTTCATAGCCCAGGGCAAATATTTCAGCATCAGAATGCAAAGGCAAAACCTCTTCCCTTCCTTGCTGCCGCAGGAAAGGGAGCTCTGCGCTAGATCTTAGGATAAGATTGATGAGTGTGAGTAATAAGGAGATCGCTGCAATGTCATTATGTAAACCAAGGACAGGCTCTCAGATGGGCTCTTCTCCCCAGAAATACAAGAAACTCAGTGAGAAGCGACCAGAAACCTCAGCCTGTCTGCTCCAGGGAGATGACCAAGAGGGGACAGGTTAACAGCACGCAAAACCACGGCTCGAGCCTAGCCGCCCTTTAAACAATTCCACATTTATCGGGCCAGCATGTACAGCCCGGAGCTCTCCCAGCTGACAATAAATCTGTCCTGTCCACGCTGCAGCACAGGGATGCTGCTGCTGACCCCAGAGATGCCCCTGCTGCTCCCCAGCAGGGTCACGGGCACCCAGTTGGGATGGTGCTACGTGAGCCTCGTCGGGGGAGACTTCAGCACTGGGAGGCAGGAAGGAGCCGCTTCCGAACCAGAGCGACTCCAAGGTTGGATGTGTTTGTCAGCTTGTTTTGCTTTGTTTTGATTCACCATCACAATAATCACAAATCACTTGATAGTTTTCTTCCTATTTAGGAGAAACTCTCTTTTTCCTTTAGAGGAAATTCTGGCATCAGCAAGGACAAAACATTTCCCAAGTGAAAACAGCAGGAATCCTAAAAAAGAGACCTGCATCTTTGATTGGAGATAGCTACAGGGACTAAACCCTCAGGCACCCAAAATGTTCTTTTTACTACCTGAGTGCAGAACAGTCTGCGCCACAGCTGCTAATCCCTGGAACAGAGCACCCATCAGAAATGCTCAATGCTCAAGCTCATAGGGATTTTTCCAATGAAAAAATGCAAGTTACAGGAATCAAAATACGCTAAGGAATTTCCCTGTCTTCGGAGTACTTCCATGCCAGGACAAACTGAGGAGCTACGTTTCCAGAGATGGATACAAAGAAAGCAGAAGCAGGAATTAGAGATCCAAGGAGCCTTCTCCAGCTGGTTTTGAAGGACCAAGTGGGACAACAAGACCTGCGGGCTACCCAGAGCAGCAGTGGGGACACGGTGCCACACGAGCTTGTGAAAGAGGATTTGGCAGGGAGAGGCTCCAGAGAGCGAGCTCCTCTGCACATTCACATTAGTTTACCTTCAGATTTAGTTGAAGTATCTCTCCTGAAAACTGTCCAGGGGTGGCAAAGGTGCAGGAAATCCCAGCCCGGTCCCTGCCTGCTTGCCTGTAACCCACTTGCAGGCAGCACGGTTCTCCGGCCCCCTCCAGTGGCTACAAAACAGGCTCTTGCAATCCCAGTCCCTGCTCTCTGCTGCATACAGGAGTACTTCCCCTTCCCACGGCGAGGTAAACGATGAGGCAGACAGCCATGCTCTTGCACTGGAACATCTTTATTTAGCTATACACAGACCCAGGCCCACAACGGAGATCTCCAGTCTGCTCTTGGATCTTATCTTGCTGCTGTGCACAACCATTCTACCCCGGGCAAAAGCAACAGACCACCAAATAGTGCTTCTTGGAGTGGGACTCACTTGGCTGTCACCTCTGCTCCATCCTGGGCAGGTTGCTACACTCAAAGGCTGGTTTTGGTGTAAAAAGTGCTTTACTTGAATCTGGGGATGGAAAAAAACACACACACACACACACACCAACCCTAATAAATGTTGTTCTGCTGTTTTGCAAAATTCCCAAATGGCAGGAAATTATATTTGCGTACCAGGCCAGCTACCAGTATTTCATACTCTGAAAATCCCCTAATACAACAAAGACGAGAAGAAAGCCCACAAGAAAAAAAGCTCCTTGGGATGTACTTTCTTATTCTAGATCTGTTACAGTTCTTTAACCACTTTCCAAACCTTGTCATCCCATCCCACACCTACTTACAGCAGGGCCACACGATGCACACTTAATATATTACGCAGAACCGTAACAGGCATCCTTCAAATGAGGGGACGTACACTGCAGATCTGTTTAATTTCCCACCTGTGACTTCACAGTTGTGTTATTGGTGTTATCTGAGCACGCCTCAAGGACAGCATGTAAAAGGATGCTTTTACAAAAGAGAACGCATTGCTACATAGGAGGAAATGGCAAAGTCTGAATTAAGGCAAAAATAAATGCTGTTTATATAGTGCAAAGACATATAATATGCACACATTATTACTGAGATTCCATACTGGAAGACGAGTGTTTCTTGGGTTTAAAAGGATGAGGACAGTCAGAAGATAAAGGCTGTGGCACTACGGAACTTCATAAATCTGTTTTAAGATTCATTACTACCTCTCTACAGTGAAATTTCCAGATATTCTGTGTATTAAACCATTTCACTTAGGCAGAGCTGGGTTTAGGTAGCCTCAGCAACCACTGTCCACCAGGACAACTCCAACAGTAGTTTCCACAGTTCTGGCTCAATATTACGTGAGTTGTTCTACTGAGTTGGGAACCCTTCAGTCCCTCAAGCCAAAAGGAAAGACCACTCCAGTTTAAGGCTGGAACCTTTGCAGGAGGCACAGTGCCTCAGTTGAGATGGGCAATGGATGGGTGGTCCCACAAAAAGCCTCCCGTGACTGGATTTCTCCAAAGCTTTGATTCTGCTGATGTCCAAGTGTTTGTGAAACTTCAAGCTGGTTTGCTACGGGGTTGGGAGAACCCTCCTCTGACCTGTGGGCCATGAGCTTGAGATATTCATGGTCAGGGAAACCTTTTGGACGCTACCTTGGATGGCTTTGAAGAACCATATCGTCCTTCAGATTTGAGGTCAAAAGGACTACCCATATGCACAAAGTTCAGCATGCTGCTGGAACATCATGATCATTATATCTCAAATTATAAATAAAGAATAGAAAACTAACTGAGGCCAAAGACCCCACCCTAGCATGACTTGTGCTTACCAGTGGGACCTACAAAGGAAGCGTATCGGTAACAAATATTGACTCTGCCATGGAAAGAGAGATTTTCTCATTTCAACTTACATGGGAGTCATGGTTCTGGGGGGAGCACGGAGATATGGCTGCAACAGCTGGCCTGGGTAGGGTGTCAGTGGCTGATTATCTGCAAGAATGCTGTAGGACAGTGTCCATCAAGTGCACAACAGTCAGTGGATCAAAAACTGAAGGCAACAAAAAATTTAACAGGTGATCTGCAGAGGCTTAGCTCTAACTACATACTGCAGCTACAGCGGGCACCGAGTGATCACACCTGTAGCAGCTAAATGCCCCGAATCTCCTTGGGCCACTCTCTGCCACGCACACTGGCATTTCTCTGCAGCTCACTCCAGATGGAGCCAGATTTCCCCAGAGGGGCATGCGCCTTCCACTTCCAGCCTACCTTCTCCCAAAAGGCACTGACGTGTGACTGGTTTGCAAAACTATGTGAACAAGTAAAAACCAGAGGGGGAAAAAGTCAACCCAAAGAAGCTGTTTCCATGGCATTTTCTCAAGACAACCTCCCTCGTTTTCTGCCTCTATACATTGGAGCTAGAGAGTACGCTCGGTCCGTGCTCCTGCAAAACATTATGGTTCCACCAGCAAGGTGACAAGAGGCTTTACAACCTGTTTGCATCTTTTAGGCATGTTAACACGTCTATAAAGCAAGCACACAACTCTCAGGCAACACGCTCATGGGCTGCCCTGGCCCCCAGTACGGTGAAAACCTAAACCATCTGCAAGCCTGAAAAGGAAACAATGCAACACTGCTGCCTTCTCACCTTGAAAGCATGCCCGCTGCTACATATCCTTGCCATTACATCTCATCTGATGAGGGTTCTGAAAGTATCTGATCACTGAGTGCAGCCATCACGCTTCAGCCTTTTCTCAACGGTGCCCAGCAATGAGAATTTTGCCACCTTGTCCTAAAATCAACGAGCAGAGCAATGTAAGGGGCCAGCTGGACACTGGCTGTCCTTCCAAGCCTCGCCATGGAGTAGAAATAACAGGAAACAGATTCCATTTTTTTTCCTGTCCTTCCTCCTTCTCTGAAAGCACCTTGGAAAGGCACGTGTTCTGCAGCAGATAATAAAAATATACAAAAAAAGTCCACTGCTGCTTATCGAACTCCACCATAAACATATCCCAGGGGGAGGACCAGAAACTGAGCTGTGAGCTTGCATTCACCAATGCCTCTGGAAAAAAAAGTATCTCATAAACCAGCGCCAAGCCCTATTCACCTTTCACTTCCCTGCTCGAAATTTCTTCAGGTATTTGAAAGCAGATACACCCAACTAAAAGATATGCAACTCACCCCCTCCTCCCTCAGCAGCTGGTCTGAAGCACGAAGCAATTCCACGAGCATCTAAAAGCAGAGCACTCACCCAGGGTAAGACGCTGCTGGTGGAAGCTCTACGGAGGACAACTTTCTAAGTGTCCCTTCGTGGACCTGCAAGGGAGAGGCCAGCACAGGTGGGAAGGGAGCGTGGGCACTGCGGGGCTCCGTGCTCAGTCTGTGGGGTGGCCGTGAGGATCCAACCCCACAGAGCCAGGATGACCAGATCTACCCGAAGGCATCTGAAACTGCCAAAAGGCAAAGCAGCTTAAACAAACCCAGCTCCCCGTTACCACAAAGGGTCAAAGAGAAGAGTGGCTAGAGAAGGATTTCATTCCCAGGAAGGCCTGTCACTGTCACCCCATGCTTAACCCAATTCTCAGCAACAGTTCCCCAACACCATTCCATAAATAAATCCCCATCATCTAAATTACTTCTAAAAAATACCCTTGGCAACTCCATGGGCATGGAAAGAACATTTGGCAGAGAAACACAGTCCAAAAAAGCAGTTTGTAATGTGAGGACTAGAAAAACTTGGATCAGAAACGTTGAAGCAAGTACCACTCGCTTCCCGGGCTTTCACCCAGGAGGGATCATCTCACCTCTGCCCTTCTAAAAGCTGCTGTTTTGACAACGTTTGCTGTACAATGACTATGTCTCACCTCTAAGGAGCTGGCTGACCCCTAGATGCCCAGAAGTGAGCTTGTGACACGAGGGAAAACAGCAGCGTAGGGGCACCAGGAATCAAAGGAGCCTGGGCAAAGCTCTGCCAGATGCAACACTGCATTGGGAAGCTCACTGCCTATTAATTCCCTGATAAAAGATTAAAAAAAAAGTCCTTTCTTCTCCCTTCCCTGCAGTGCTGACAGAATCAGGATGCAAACAAAAAGGCCCATTAGGTGGACTTGGGAGGGTGCTGCCTGGGCACTGGGATCTGGAGTAAAAAGCAAGCAGGAATTTCTATTTTTATGTGCTCTGCATTGCCTCCTACTTTACCGGCCCTTCAGCAACATCATCACCACTGCAATATTGCAAGCAGGAAGTCCAGAGAGAATTTTGGGTGTCTTTTTCTTCATAATCACACACATACACTCGCAGGCATTGCACCAACCGCTAGCAGCACAACAGTTTAATTCAGCAACCCCTCCACTGTTGCTCCTGGTCACTCCCAAATATGCAAACCCACTTACAGTGACCAGAAGGTGAGTTTGGCCATTACATTTCTCAAAAGTACCCCAGAAATCTCTCAGGTTCACATTCTGGCTTCACCTGAGCATCCCAGTCCTCGTCCCTGCACCATGGGGATCCCATCACCCCAGCACGGGCCGTGTGGCTCTCAGTTTCCGTGGGTGAAAATAACGTTTCCTCTTCTCTCCACGTCTTCTCTTTCATGCTACAGCAGCGCTCCTGAGACCTGGCCCATCCCTAGGCCGTGGGGAGGAGGACTGGCCAACCCTTCCCTCGTCCATCACGGCACTGGAGGGAAAGCCAAGATGCCACAGCAGAGCTGGTGGTCTGCCGAGAGGGCTCAGAGGGGATGGGGTTACACGTCCTGCTACTCTCCCACCGGTTACAACGGGGCCTCTACAGGAGGAAAGCCAAGTCAGCAGCTACCTTGCAGCACGCAGAGGCACGGGTAACAATTCTCCAAGTAACACGCAGCCACCGGACAGGAAACTTGATGCATTTCACACCAGAGGAGGCAAGAAGAAAATACACCCACTTTTACAGCAGCAACCACAAACTCCATAGGTAAGAGAGAGGCCAGGTACTGACAGCAGGAAGAGAACGGTGCTGTTGTAAACCAGCACTGGCACCGAGGCAAGGAGAGACTCCCTCGCGCGCTACAGGAAGATGAAAGGCTCGAGTACAGACACATTTGCCACGCAGAAGTGGCTCTGAGACCCAGGGTGTGTGTAACACGGAGCAATAACAGAGGTAGAGTCCTAACAGACAGACATATGCTAACAGCTGCAGGATATACTGCGTTTGCTCATGTACCAGCCACACACACACTTACCGGCCTCACTGCCCAACCAGCCGCAAACAGGTCACCAGTTAAACAGCTGGTGGCTTGAGTACAGACACACAAAATCACCCCGAATTTGAAGGGGAAAATCGCAGGGAATTGTGTGCACTCCATGAGCAAACCGGTATTTCTCTGCGAGGGTAGGGCTAAGGTTGGCACCCGGCTGTATCAGCTCACTCGTTTCGCAAACCAAACTGTCCCAGAAAGCAGCCAGTTGCCCTTTAACTGTGTTCGTGAAGTAAAAATTGTTTAATGGGGTCTGGGACGGGAAGGATATGGATCAGATCCAGACGAGATTTGCCCAGTATTCTCCGTACAGCTATGCGGCAGAGAGACAACAGGCTCCGGGCACGGCCTGCAAGAAAGAAAGCAAAAGAACTGGTGAGGGACAGGGAGAGGAAGAGGGAAAGACAACATCATGCACATCATGCTGAGCCCCAGCTGGCAACGGGGGAGCCACTAACCCCTTCCAAACGCTGAGGCCACATCCTGCACAGCATCCTGAGGGCGGTGCAGGAGAGCTGAGCCTGCTCCGTACTCACGCCTCCTCTCAGTAAAAGTCCAGGCAGGTTTAAAACCCAGGCATGTGCAATGCTGAATAACTTTGGGGTTGGGGTCTGGGGGTTGTATCCCACATCCTGGATCCCTTCCCAATCTCTCTGGTCTGGAATGCAAAAGTGAAACCCCACTTCTGACCCTGGTGGAAAGCCCTGGCCTTCACCAGCTGAGCCTGGTGGTTTTACGAGGTGCTGCCACTGCTGGAAGCAGGGTACGTGCTGAAGTGATGCTGCTTTTGTTATAGAAAGAAATAAACAGCAGGTAAATTTAGGTATGTTTGGGCTTGAGGCTCTGGCTTTCTTCTGTAACTCATTTGCTTCCTAGAGGACATTAAATTCTAAAAAAAACACCTTTCTCCATCATTTTCCACCACCATCTAAGCTCCCTCCTTCCATCTGCTACCACTGTTGCATCTTTACTTCCCAAGCAACCTGCCCAGACACAGCTACCCCTTGAGCACAGGGTCACCCAAGAATCGTGAGGACACATCTGCATGGTGCTGGAGACCTGGGTCTGACTGGAGATGCCATAACCTGGCTGTGGCCCTGCTCTGACACCACCCTGCTGCTTAAACCTTGCCTCGGGCAGCTGAAGACACCACCAGGCAATGGAAAAGAGCTGGGAGAAAGATAAAAAAAAAAGGTAAAATTGTGAAATTGTGGTCAGAGGTTGGGCTAAAGAGCCTGGGTTCACTTACCCCGTGCTTCTTTGAAGACCTGCAGAGCCTCAGGGTTCACTTTGACCCTTCCCGTGGAGTCAAACTCCAAGGCCTCCACTTTGACCAGGTTGAGGTTGGCTCCAAAGTCAATCAGGAGGTGGATGAACGCCGCGTCGCAGCCGTGCCGCAGGACGGCATCCATCACGCAGACGGGGGAGCCCCGGGAGAAGCCCTGGATGTTGATGGGGCCACAGCAATTGAAATCGGGGTTGGCCCCGGCCTGGAGGAGCAGCCTGAAGCACTGCAGGTTGTGGTAGGCGGCGCTGATGTAGAGCGGGCACACCACCAGCGTGGTGAGGGGCCGCAAGGAGAGGCTGGAGACGCGAGAAGCCAGGTGGTGGTTCACGTCCACGTCTGCGCCGTACCTGGGTGGGAGAGGAGAGACCTTTTGGGCAATGCCACCACCACCACAGGGCCTGGCAGGTGTCCCATTGTTCACTGACACACCAAACAAGATAAAAATCAGATTAAGACCATGGCGTTTCTGAATAAATTTGTCTGCAGGCAGGTTTAATGCAGCTTCACTCCCTCGCCTTCAAATTCAAGGGAAGCTTTTCATCGTGCCTCCCTCCCAGGGACAGGTAGGGAGAGGTTGGAGCAGGGATGCTGGATCCAGCGTGGTCTGATCTTCAAGAAGCAAAGCTGTTCCTCCGCCAGCACCAGCACAGGCTCAGGGCAGAGGAGGAGCAGCTGAGGGACACCTTCCCTTGCCCTCCCGAAGGACGTGCCAAGCTCAGCCCCGAGCCAGCAGCACGTCATGCTGGATGCTGAGGGGCTGGCTGGGAAGCAGGGGATGCTTCCAAATGACTCAGTGGAAGAGATGCAGTGAAAATAACTTCCCCACCAGGGTAACACAGGCCAGAAAGCAATGCAAGCGATTGATCTGACTGTCACAAACAGCAGGGGAATGGAAACAGCAACCAGTGCTCAACAGTGAGACGTGTACGACAAAATCCCGCTCCCGAAGGAACTTGGATGGCTGAAACCCCATTAGAAATCCCAACAGGGGGAAAAGAGAGATTCAGCCAGTGTTAATCTCAGCCGAAGGGACACACCTGCCAATTCTGAGCATGTAGGAAACTGGAAAAATAGAAACTAATTGCGTCAGACCTCCCGCTCTCCCCATCCATCCTGTGCCACTCAACTCACAGGTTGTATTTCACACCAGATTAAACTTTTACATTGAACATAAGTTTTAAATTTTAGTATTTTACACCAGATTAAACCAAGGGAGCAAGCTAAAGCCCTGCTTGATGGAAATCAGCAGCACCATGAAACAGGAGCAGCAGCCACGGCCTACCTCTTATCAGGAAGTACAGGAGGCACTACGTTTGACAGAGCAGAAAACAAGGCTTACTGCCTTCATTTCTTTTTATTTTCTTTTTTGTTTGTTTGTTTTTTTTGTTTTAGGAGGAAGTGGAGAATACAGCCAAGAAAATGGGAGCAAGAAGGCCAAGTGCTGCTCTCTAGAAAAGCATGGAATTTGAAAAATGGTAACGCTGCACAAAGCAGAGAGAGCAGAAGTAAGCCTTGTTCCCCCCAGGGTGGGAAACACCCAAGCAGTGGGGACACCGTAGCTCCATCTGCTTCACGTGCAGCTTGGGCTAGAGCAAGGAGGAAGACAACACAAGCCCCTAAGGAGTAGCTGGTTTTCATTGCAGCTTTACGGATCAAGTCGTGTCCCTTCCCCACACACAGGAACAAAACATTCCTTCGCCCGCCAGCCCCTCTCCCAAAATTGCAAGCCACGTATTCAGAGAACTGGAATTTTCTGTCTTCGTAGATATCACATAATATTCCTTCCTGCAGTTAATAAAACAAATATGGAAACCACCTGGGGATGAATTCTTCCTCACTGCAAGCACGACTCTTTCTGAACCCAGCAGGGGTTGGTCCCTCTCCAGTGTACACCTAACCAAGGGCTTCAAGTCAGAGGACAGGAACAGACTCATTTAAATTAAGCACACGTAGAACAAGGACTGAGGAAACTTGTCTAAGAGCTGCAAATAGCATGCAGTGTATTTTACCCCAATGCACAGGATTTCTCAAGCACGAACATCTAGGCTAAGATCTCCAGAGACCTGTGGGGTGGAGAAAGGCAAGGGAAAGCTGGGGAGAAGCAGCAGTGACACAGGTGAGTGCAGGCTGGTCCTCGCACCAGCCACAGGACGAAGCTTTGCTCCCCAGGCCAGGCAGCTGGCCTGGCGCTTGCTCTACGCTCAGGGGACATTTTCCACCTTCTAGAGACTTTTGCAGCACTTTGCTGCATTTGCATCACTCCATATTCATGGAGTAAATGAGAAAAGGTGTTTGCTCTCCATAGGCAATCCCTGTAGATAAAGAAGCCTCTTAAAATTGGGCTACACAAGCGTTTAAACAGAATCAGCTGTGCTGCCAGGGAACTTTCTCAGGAGGGTCATGGGGCCGCTGCCTCTTACAGCCACGGGTCTCACCGGGCAGCAGGTAGCCCCTCACTCCAATCCTCTGCTTTTCTGTTAATTATCATTGACAAAATTACCTGTAGAAACCCCTACTTCCAAGCAAAGCACGCAACGCTGCTTTTGTTAGTACCTGTCTGAGGAACTGGCGTGATTTGTAAGATCTTTTTCACTGCTTTTAGTGTGGCAAGAGCATCCTCTCATCCTCACTACACTGGGTCAGCCCTCGGTTGTGCTGCAGTCCAACACCATCACAGCATGATCGCATAACAAGCTGTTGGGAAAGAAATCTACACCCTGGAAATATAACTGTAAATATTTCTGCCAGTTGTCTTACAAAACGGATCACCGTTCCCTACCCCGCGTGTATTTACTATTAATGGGTACAGTTTCACCTATTGCTTGCTTAGCTGTTTCAGCAATTGTGGTAGGGCTCAGGAGTCCCCATTGTGCTGCCATATGATTATAAAAAATGAACCAGGTGATGTTTAGACACCTGCAGCAAGCCTGACTGGGCTGGGCTTTCTTTTCAGAACGCTGAGGCTCTCTCGAGCAGAATATTCCGAGATATTTCCTTGTATCTCAGCATAGGTGTCCTCCTCTCTGTGTTCCCCCTGCCAAGTCCTTTAGATCAACATTTTGAAAATCTCTGAGTGAGCTTTGTAACATAAGACTGCATTTTAAAGTAAGCAACTCTGAGCAGATCTGTGAAATCCGTACTCCAAGATATTTGAAATTTTGGGCAATCTGACAATTTGGTATTAGCTTAGCAGCCTTGGGAGAGACATCGTCTAATAAAAAGATATTGGACAAACTCCAGTTAATTTTTAATCCTGAAAGTTTTCCAAAATCTTGCTTTTAATATTGCTGGCAAGGTATCCCGAGGAGTAGACACATAAATCAATGCATCAGCTCTCCATGTGCTGAAATACCATTTGCTACATTTCACCCTGCCTTAGTGGATATCAGGGGAGATTCTCGGGAATGCAGCTCGTATGCTGAACCCTGTACCAACAGGCATGGGGCAAGGGGGGTGTCATTCTCTCAGCTTGCACAAAAAGGAGCAAGGAAGGGGCTGGTCTCCTCTTCTTTCTGCTTGCCAGCATCCTTAGAGCTGCACTTGTGTGAAAATTCATTTCCCCACCAGCAAAAATCCTTTCCATTTTTATTTTCTAGCAGCTATGGCCATTGAAGGGGTTCCTTGGAGAGTGTTTCTCTGTGAATCCAAATAAACTTTCTACTTTTTCTAAACTTTTACTACTCCTTTCTACAACCTGTATTTCCCCCCTATAATCCACTCTTATTTGGCATCAAAGGCTCGTATACTTGCTCAGCACGATCCCTGATACAAAAAAGCTTCCAATTTAGAAGAAAGGAAGCATCACGGCACGCCACAGAGGAAGAAACTCAAGTTCACCCAGCCTATTGCTCAGCCCTGAGCCCACTTGCTGCTGGTGCACAGAGTGTTCTAGTGATGGGGTGAGTGTCTGGCAGCCAACAGCAGACTGTGCTGGTGACAAGCGCCTCTCCTCCTTAGGACAGAAAACGGTCACAGCAGCAGGAATAAGCAAAGGAAGGATGTGTTTCTGAACAATTTTTGGTTGGGTGGGTGATCTGTCTCACTTGTAAATTCAGCCAGCTGGGACTGAGCAACAGGGCATGGAGCTGGCCATGGGGGAGTAGCAGCAAGCAGATGAAGGCCAGGGGGAAGATGCTCTGCAAGATTTGGCTCTGAGACACTCGCTGGGAACTTCTGCATTCTCCCTCCCACCCACCAGTGGCCCCTCTCCGCCAGCTTTGCCAGGCCTATGGAGACACCAGGCACACGAAGACAGAACAGATGCTCCAAAGATCCCAAGGGGAGGAGGAAAGGGAGGTCAGAACCATTCCTCTCCTCACTGGGATCATCCCCAGCCTGCACCCACTCCTCACCTGATCAGCTCCCGCAGGATGTCTGCCCGGCCCACGCGCGCCGCGTGGTAAACGGGGGTGCTGCGGTGGTGCCGGCTGCCATTGGGGTCAGCCCCGGCTTCCAGGAGGATCTTGGCACACTCGAGGTGCCCGTTGACCACGGCCACGTAGAGGGCGGTCTGCCCCTTGACATCCACCAGGTCGATCTCGGCCCCTTTGCGCAGGAGGAAGTCGACGCAGGGGCCATGGCCGGCGGTGGCGGCGATGCGCAGCGGGGTGCAGGGCAGCCAGCCGCAGCACCACACCGACTTCTCGTTGATCCGGCTGGCGTGGGAGGGAGAAGCAGAAGGTCAGAGAAAGCCCCTGGTCACCAAAATGCTCCTAAAAAACCCCGACTCCCTTCTCACTTCGTAAAGGGAGTTGCCCCAGATCAGAAGTGACCGAGCAGGGGACTACAAAGGTTTAATTCAAGCTGCTCCCAAAGTGGCAGAAGGTTGTCAAAGCAGCAGGGAAACAGAAAGAGGACACAGCAGGAGCAGAGAAATGCCTGAACACGCAGGCATCTGTATCCCTCTGCTGGTACATCCACGTGCTCAGCCTGGCACCATGGGATGACATAAATGCAAATCCAGGGCAGCTCAGCACAGCGCAAGCACAGCCCTGCTAGGAAGGAGCTAGCTTGGAGGGGCAGCCGTGATAAACAGAACAGCATGAGTAGACCATTAGCATCCTTGTTAGACAGCCACACTGGCAGGAAAGCTTTCTCAAATTTATAACAAGACATGGCTCTGGCTGGAGGCTGCTAGGATCCCCTCTGAAGCCACCTGTACTACTTGTCATACTCGTCCAAATTTCAGGTTAGCTCCACAAATCTCATAAATATCCAGACTCAGTCCCCAGTTCTCTGCAAGTCTCTGCACAACACAGAAGCACCCTGCAGAGAGGAAGGGATTTCTTTAAGGCCAGCACAGGCAGGCAAAAGTGCCCTTTAGCCAGCACAGCAGTGGATTTGCTCTTCTAGCTCACTCCACGCCAGCCCACGTAATTGGTACAGGGCAAAGCAGTTTTTATACACTGCAGTTAAGGCAATTCGCTAGGAGAGCAATGCCACAATGTTTTTGTTCAATCATGTTTCAGGAAGAGGAGTGATATAAACCTTGCATCAGGCCGTCATCTGCGAAGCCTTTTGATAAAAAAGCTCCCTTTAATCCTTGCAGGTTTGGGAGTCTCCACCCCAAACCTACTACCAGGTTCAAAGAAGTCGCTTCTCTGCTCACTCCACCACCTGTGTGATGGCACTGCAGGTCCTGCCAAACTTTGCTTTTTCCTGCAAGGAAGGATGTCAGATTCAGCTCGTGACCTCAAAGGGCTGTCTGGCCCTGCTCAATAGGGTTACCACACAGCAGGGTGCAAAAATAAGGCAAAACCTCAAACCAAGGGACCAAAGAGTCCCAGCACAGCTGCCTAGGTGGCAGAAGGCAGGGCTAGCTCATTCTCATTTTTGCTGAAATTATTTTTTTTTTTAAGGCTAGTAGACATTTTGCACTCTAAGCAGTTTTCTCCATGGTGCAGGAAAATTAATTAACCATCCCCACGGTCACAGACTTAGCACTGGGCAGATTTTGTAACACAGGGTGTTTCAGGTTTATATTTGATTCTAATCCCTTTTGTGTGTTTTTCCCATTATACGTAGACTCCTATTTTCAAGGTATTGCATTTCCACCATGATCTGAAAAGAGTTTGTGCGTGGACGCTGCACGCTCACAAACTGGCTTGAGATTGGCCTCCTGGGAGGCCTACAGGGATGATTTCAAGGGTGAGCAGCGCAGCCTCCCCCCAGACACATCTCCTGTAAAAATGGAGCAGGGCACATCCACCAGCAGGAGAGGTCTGGAAACGAGAAGCAGGCTGTGGGGAGGAGGAGGAGGATGGTGGGGTGAGCATTGGATGTAGATGTCATTAACCAACGTTTTCAGAGTGGCGTTAAGTCAGACCTCACACCTGGCTTCCCCTTGGTCCCATGGGGATAACCAAAGCCAGTTACCGTGTGGCAAACCACCAGGGTGGGAGAAATGCCCCTCACCTTTGGAAGCTCTCCTCTTGCAGCAAGCTCTTGAGCGTGGGCAAGTCCCCGACGTAGGCTGCGTCGTGCAGCCGCGTGTCCTCGCAGTGCTCCAGGGGGTGGTCGCAGAACTGCTCCCGCAGCCACTCCTTCAGGTTACGACCTGCGCTGGAGACAGGGCAGCTGGGTTGAGTCCTGCCAAGAGGCAGGTGCTGAAGAAGCTTTGGCAAGGCAACCAGGTGGCCACAGGGCTACCAAGGAGCATGAAGGGGAAGAATCAGCCTTGTTGGGCGAAGCCACCAGCATCCCTACGGGTGCTGAGATCAAGGAAGCGAGGGGCTGCCCCACCCCATGCACACCTGCAGAGGTGACACGAGTGCTGGGAGCCCACCAGCAGGCACAACCCAAAACAGCACCAGGCACATCCCCAGCCCCAAAGCCCTCCCCCAGCCTCCCCGCGGGGTCTCCCCTCGCCTCACGGTACCTGCGTGCCCGCCCGAGGCGCCCAAAGAGGCGGCCGGGTCCCCGCCGCCCGGGGCGGCTCCTGGGGGGCTGCCCTCGGCCATCGGCCGCAGCTCGGCCCCGGGGCCCCGGCCCCGGCTCCCGGCCGCAGCCTCGCAGCCTCCTCCTCCTCCTCCTCCTCCCGGCGGGGCCGTCCCTTTTTCGGGCCGGCCTGATTGGGTGCCCGCCGCCGCTTCCTGCCTCGGCGTTAAGGTGGTTTTTGGCCGGCCCGAGGAGATGGCGGCCCCGGGGCTCCCTCACGGCAGCCCGGGGAGGCGGCGGGGCTCGGCTCGGCTGCTGCCAGCTGCCCGCCTCAGGAGCTGAGGTGGCCCCCAGGAGGCGAAATGTCGGAGCCTGGGGCTGCTCCCCACACTGCATCCTCGGTCCGAGCCCCTAGATTTCAGGCTAAAAATGAGTGTCAAAAGCACGCAGCTCGTTTGTTGGTGTAGAGACCTCACCAGAGGAAAATGAGGCAGGCTACGTGCCCGGTCCTCCGAAACAACCCCACAGCCACTGCCTGCTGCAGAGGTGCAGACCAGGTGCGTGAAACCTGCCTTGCTCCAGCTGGTAAATCAGAAGGATTTTGTGTTCTTAGGCGGGACAAGGTTCACCCATAGCTCAGAATCACAAAGCTCTGTATGATCACGTTTCCCTGTTCTTCCCTGCGGTGTAGCTCCCAGGGTCCTGCTCATGTAAACACTGCTAGAACAGGCATGCTGAGCATGGACAGGGCTGGAGGTGAGCAGGAAGGCGAGCCAGTCATGAAAATACAACCAAGACACAGCAAGGAACAGGGGCTGAGCAAAAATCCACTACTTTGTGTAAACCCCACCAGGTATTTTCAAGCACAGCACTCTAAGCTGCACCCGAGTAAGCAGCAGAGAACTTGTGAGGTGCCTGCACTGTGAAAGTGCAAAGTGCAAACAGGAGTGTAGGCATGTAGAAAAACACACACACGTGCAAAAGGTCTGCAAGGAGAGGGGCTGACATCAAATCCAGCCTCCTCCCAGGGCAGCTCTCGCAGGCGAGCTGTCCTAGCAGCTCGCTGCCTTGGCGCGCTGGCACGGAGCCACCCTCCAAGCGCTCAAAACACACCCTGAGTTGTGAGCGCACGTTTGAGTCCCCAGTGCCAAAGGAGAATGGTGGTAATCCATCTAGCTTTCCTGCAGCTCCACTCCTGCTGCTCCGTGGCAGGATATCAGTCCACAGACGCCAGACTCTGGCTGCAAATATGGTTTCCTGTGACTGTTATTATTTGGGCTCAAGCGATCCAGAGGAGAGATGTGCAATCTGCAAGTCAAAACGGTTTGCCTTGCCCAGTAAAAGATCAAAAAGGGAGAGGAAGCAATGGGATTTTCAGAAGCCACCAGCACTGGCTAGCACTGCCACCTTCCCCTGCTGCTGTCCTCTTGCCATTAAACAAGGCAGACCTGGGGCCAAGGAACGTCCCCTGGAATGAATTGGCTGCCGGTCTGGAAATGTGACTCAAGGTCTGTTTGGCCTTCCTTGAGTCAAAGGGACCAGATCTGGAAACCAGACACTGGGGCTAGGTGGAGCTCCGGCCCTCAGTGTTGTCAGCCTGTGCTCCCCCACATTTTCTAAGATTGAGATGGGATCCAGCAGGGCTTGCCTCAGGGCTGGGCAGTCTCTGGGGTGATGGAGCAGATTAACCACCCTCCAACAGGCTCCTCTTCGAGCAGCACATTCCTCCTGTGGTTTCTAACCTGAATCACAGAATCACAGAATCACAGAATCACAGAATCTCTAGGTTGGAAGAGACCTCAAGATCATCGAGTCCAACCTCTGACCTAACACTAACAGTCCCCACTAAACCATATCCCTAAGTTCTACATCTAAACGTCTTTTGAAGACTTCCAGGGATGGTGACTCAACCACCTCCCTGGGCAGCCTGTTCCAATGTCTAACAACCCTTTCAGTAAAGAAATTCTTCCTAACATCTAACCTAAAACTCCCCTGGCGCAACTTTAGCCCATTCCCCCTCGTCCTGTCACCAGGCACATGGGAGAACAGGCCAACCCCCATCTCGCTAGAGCCTCCTTTAATATACTTATACAGAGTGATAAGGTCACCCCTGAGCCTCCTTTTCTCTAGGCTGAACAAGCCCAGCTCCTTCAGCCGCTCCTCATAGGACTTGCTCTCCAGGCCCCTCACCAGCTTCGTCGCCCTTCTCTGGACCCGCTCAAGCACCTCGATGTCCTTCTTGTAGCGAGGGGCCCAGAACTGAACACAGTACTCGAGGTGCGGCCTCACCAGAGCCGAGTACAGGGGGACGATCACCTCCCTAGCCCTGCTGGTCACAGTGTTTCTGATACAAGCCAGGATGCCGTTGGCCTTCTTGGCCACCTGAGCACACTGCTGGCTCATATTCAGCCGACTGTCCACCATCACTCCCAGGTCCTTCTCTGCCTGGCAGCTCTCCAGCCATTCCTCTCCCAGCCTGTAGCTCTTCTTGGGGTTATTGCGCCCCAGGTGCAGGACCCGGCACTTGGCCTTGTTAAACTTCATACAGTTGACCTCAGCCCATCGGTGCAGCCTATCCAGATCCTCCTGCAGAGCCTTCCTACCCTCGAGCAGATCGACACACGCACCTAGCTTGGTGTCATCTGCAAACTTACTGAGGGTGCACTCAATGCCCTCATCCAGATCATTGATGAAGATGTTAAAGAGGACCGGCCCCAGCACCGAGCCATTTGAATCTACCATTTGATCCCACAGCAGAGGCTCTGTGTGAGCTGCAAAGCATTGTGTTGGATTGCTGGCCAGCAATGAGGTCTCTCCCAGAGGAAAAAGGCACATTAGTGCATGGGCTTTCATATACATGGCCTCAGACCAGGAGCTGTAATGCCTGTGTGCACAAGGGGATAGTTACTGCAAGGGACAGAAACCTTTGTACTTCAGTGCCTGAAGTAAGAAGAACGCAATGCCAGTTTTCAAAGCACTTAGGAACAGGCCACTCCTGCTCAGCACAACTTCTCTTTAAAATAGATTTTGTTTATTCACTGTGTGTCATCTGGAGCTGACTCTGCTCTTCTCCCATGGGTAAAGTGTGGACAGGAAAGAAAGGGGAGCAGCGGAGGCAGCAGTGTTTACTCACAGTATGTTAGTTATCCCCGTGGATAAACTGCAGCCCCAGAGAGGCACAAAGTGGCTGGTAAACAGTACAGACAAGGCTGGAAAGTGAGCGTCTGGATCACTTGTGATAATATATTCATTCAGCACTTCTTGTAGCAAATGCCTCCTGTTTAAGTACTCATCTCTATATCCACATATTTGTATATGTTTTTATGTCCTTACGTGCTGCAGTGAAAAGCAGGAAGATAGTGTATACCATATCCCATTAGACTTTCTAGTAGTCTACCAAGCTTTTTTTTTTTCTCTCTCTCTCTTTTTTTTTCCCAAGAAAAACAAAAACAATGCATCCCAAGCTGCCCTAACCAGCTCTCAGATACAGGAGTGGTAGAAAGGGGTGACTGTGATTGTTGCCTCAGCCTTGGAGATGGCCAGTACCGCTCTTCCAGTCTGCTCCACCAGGAGGTTGGACTAGATAACCTCCTGAGGTTCCTTTCAGCCTGAATTATTCCATAATCCTAATAATTTATGTGTCTGGAGCAACACTGAAGTAAAGCAATGTAATTAGCCCAGCCCTGTAGTGTGGATAGGCAGCAGCATCTGCTCTGGAAAACTTCAGCTGACAGGCAGTTTCATCTCATTTACATGTGAAAAAGTTCTTGGGCTTAGACAGTGGATTTACGTAGAAATCCAAAAGAAGAGTCCCCATACTGCTGTGAGGGACATCCCCGTGATGGTGGTACCCAAGATGCTGCCCAGCTCCAGGGCTCGTACTGGAGGATGAACTAAGCCGTGCTCCCAAGGTCCATGGGCTGTTTCCAAAAACTGCAAGAGGTGGTTGCTGCTTGTTTGAGGTACACTGGGTAGCTCCTCCACTGCACGGGGTTGCAGAGCTCCTCTGGATTCAGGCAGCCAGGGCAGGTGAGCTGACTTGCCCCCCTCTTTGCTCCATGGCAGGCAGTCCATTACCTGTGGGTGGCCTTTCACATTGCTGCACTGATCCCACCCCGCTTGAAACCAGATCCACCCAGCAGTCAGGGCCTGTTACTCTCTCAAGGAGAGCTTCCAGCATCTAAAAATACCCAGTAACCCAACACAGCCAACACACACTGACTCACGCGTTAGACAAGACCTTTTCTCCAGCTCCTAACACCGATGTAACAAAAAAAGGAAAAAAATATATATATTATTTATGTGTATATGCGAAGCAAGTTCCTTCTATTCTCTGGAGGAGCCCTCAGCCATGGGCAGCCACCCTGCCACATTCACTAATGTTTGCTTGTTCACCTGTCCTGCTCCTGAAAACACTCAGCTCGGGTCAGACAGGCATCCTCTTGTCTGTGGGGCACAGCTGGAGTCCCGGAGAGGAAAGGAGAAAAAGAAAGAAAAAGAAAGAAAGAAAGAAAAAGAAAGAAAAAGAAAGAAAAAGAAAGAAAAAGAAATGTCATAGCCATTACTGTAATTCACGCTTAGCTCAGTCTATAAAACTTCTCTCTTTCTGGATCTAAGCCAACAGCTTGAATTTTTAGTGAACGCTAAAGTTAAGTTGCCCCGGTGATAAATGCATCTGCGGGGAAAGAGGGGGAAAAATGCCTTCCACCCCATTTTTAGCAAAGCTCAACAGTTTTCTGTGGGATTCATATAGTTTCTGAAGTGGACATGAAGATGTATGTTAACTAGGGGCTGCGACAGAAAACAGAAATGAGCGATGGGAGGAGAACTTAATTACAGCATCCAGGATTGTCATTAGGATTGGGGCTGTAATCTCAAAGACGACAACAGATAGGTCACTTGGAGTCTGGTGAGCTCCTGGAATGAATTTATGGAAAAGCAGAAAGTTAATAATGCTGCAAATGCGTCCTGACATTGCTTAATAGGTCTGTCTTCAGGGAGAAGAGAAAACTGATGCATCTGCTGTATCTATATGCATTTTGACCTTCCATCAGGTGTCCAGGACTTTGCTCCTTCAATTCTGAACACAAGAAAGTGGGAAAGATGGAGTGGAGGTTGAACTGAAACATGACAGCAAGGCAGAGACTAGAAAATCCCATCCATCTGTCATCTTCAGCATGGCACAAAATGATGGAGGTGACCGGTGATCCCACTGCTCCCAGCAGGTGGTATGGTCACTCCTGCACACGAGGAACGAGGGCTAAGACTGGGTGAAGAACCAGCAGGATAAACCCAGATAAAGTCAGAAGCCTGGAAGCAGGGGCTGGCAGGTCATGAACACCTCACCTGCAAGAGGGAACGCAGCCCCAGCACAGGGACCTCTCCTTTCCTAAAGGAAGGCTCACACTGGC